GATATTCAAATAGCTTAATTGGATAACATATAATAATTCCTCGTTAAACGTTCTACATTCATTAAAAAAAGCAAACGTTTTAAGAACAATTAAGCTTATGCATGAAAAAGCAGATGGATGTAATTTGTCATGGAAAACCGATTTATTTATACAGTAACCCAGACGATTTATTGCTAATAATTGCATTGATTGTATGACTTCATTTACTATAAAATAATACAGAAATTATACATTTCAAAAATATTTTAACATCAATAATTGATTAAATATTAACTACTAATAAAATGTATTACATAACAAAAAATAACCATAGCATTTGACAGCTGAATATTTATGATGCTATTTGAAGCATTTGATTATTATAAACGTTCTTGATTTATTCAAGAAAGGCATATAATAATCAATAATAATGTATTCAATCCCACACTCAGCCTTACAATAATCAACATGTTTAATCATCATTACAACTAAGTGTAAAATGTTTGTCTAAATCTATGTAAACACTGTCAGTTTTCTAGTAATTTTCCCTTATTAAATCTGTACAGGACTTAATATTAACTTGATTTCTAATGCTCCCTAAAATGTACGTTTTAATACATTTTAACACAACGGAGCTTAAACCCTGGTTTACATTTCAAATATCCATTCATCTATTTTTTTATCTGACTAAAATAAACATCGATTTGGCACCTAACCTCCTGGAGGAGAATGTACAGATGAAGTTTTTAGTGTTTCCCATAATACGGCCCAAAAAATGAGACGGGTTAACACTGGGCAGTACCATGGCATATAAACCACACTGTGTCTTTGGCCTTTCGTTCTCCCCATAAAGTGACCATGTAACTCTGCTCTGGTCCTCAGAGAAGAGACGCCATTGACTCAGTATCATCTTTCCTCACAATGTTGTTATTTCATCTTGGTCATTGGTGTCAGCTTTAAGTTTGGTGAGGGCCGCATGGACCCTGAACTGCGTACGAGACTCCATAGAGTACTCCTTGTAGTTTTTCCTGACAGGAGAGATGAGGAGACATTTCATGACAAAATGCCATTTGCAACTTCAACAAGAAGCCAAGAAATGACAACAGCGAGCAAGTATTTTGTCCTAGACTGAACTCACTTGGCTTTCTGCAGTAGATGGATGGCTTGCTCTTTCCTCCCCGTGTCGATGTACAGGAGACTCATCTCCAGCAGAGCGTTAGGAACCAGGTAATGATCAAACTTCAACTTCTTTTCACTGTTAACGACACAAAGCATCTCAAACACCATCCTGAGACAGTTCAAGCATTTGTGAAGGCAAATCCATTAACGCAGAAGCACTGGCCTGCTGTAAACCTGTCTGAAACAGTCCTCTGCCGTCTGCGTCTGGCCTTGGTTCTTCAGACACAGGCCTTTCAGAAGCAGGATCACACACGTGTCGTCCACAGAGTACACATTCTCTACACAAACAGAAAGAGTACATGTAAAACAATATATACTATATATATATAGAGAGAGAGTTTTTTTTTTCTTTCATTTTTATTATAATTTTTTATATGTCTATTTTAGTATGTCAACTTAAACTAAATAAAAATATGTCTCCTTGGTAAGTTACATTTTTTTATATTGTACTTCAGTTAATGATTATTTTTTTTCAATTAATTCATTTTTTTATGGTTTTTGTTTTTACATAAAATGGGGGCCATTTAAAATGAATTGAGAAAATTATTCTAAAAAATTAATCTCTTGAAATATTTAAACATGAGGATAAATACATGATTAAAAACAACCATTTGATTAAAAAAAAAAAAACTATTGACCATGCAATATTTAGTAATTAATAATACAGAAATTATGGTATATAATATATTATTTAAAATTGAGCAATTGATGATTTAAAACTTTAATATTGCTTTTTCAATAATGTATTACTTCATTGTTCACTGATAACAATCAATTGGTGTTAAGACCTATTTTAAAAGTCTTCTTTTATATCTAGACATATTCTCTGTATACAGCATAGAGTGATACTACTATGAATAACAGACTTCCCTAAAATGCAGTTGATGTAGTTTCCTATTTATTTAATCCAGAGTGGACATTGTGTGGCATTACCTTGAGCGGCCTGTAGGGTGCGCTCTGCTTCTAACAGCGTCTCCATCATGCCCTCCGTCAGCTCAGGCTGTTTGCTGATCATGGAGAAACCATTCCACATG